ACCGTAAGTGTGTTTCAGTTCCCAGAAAAAAAATTAAGGGAATCTAGGGACTGCCCGTAGGCGCAGTGAAAAACTGATTTTAGACTTCGAATCAAGTAAGGATCCCTCACCCTATTTTCTATCGCAGAATTAAAGTTCAATTGAATGATAAAACTGTATTTTATGAATTATATAGATACACGTAATTAATTAAGGTTGCTGATGGAGCTCGAATCTAATATATTTTTCGGTCAGTTCATGTTTTATTTATTTTACAGTTTTAAATGCGTTACGTTATGTGGCTTATTTATTCTATGGTTTCAGATGCATGAATCACTGTTTATTTCACTGCTGCTTGGTTTCGTAGATTTAATGTATGCTTGTCTCGTTGAATGCACGTTACTTGTTTAAGTGTTCACGTTTATGTGAGAAGTAAAAAACTAAGAAATGAATGGAAAAGAGTATGTGAATTAATAAATGGATAAGTTGACAGCCTCAACTATCTTGGGAGATGGTGGACGGACCGGGTCCATAAGGAACCCTACCGGGAACATTGTCTCATACCGGATAGGGTATGGAGACTTTAAATGTTTTGGTGCCCATATCGGATGGGGTATGGGGACGGCCCTGAAATTAAGTTGTTTAAGTTAATAGTTCACGTGTAGCAGGGACCCCTTTGGATTCCCATAGATACTGGTAGGCTGATAAAAGAGAAAAATTGTTGTTTGATGATTGAAAAACAAAAGTATGACATGTGATATGTTACAGGGTATGTATGAATTCATGATATCTTTGATGTTATTGTTTCTATGGGTCGTTTTCATAAATCTCACCGAGGTAAGTGGACAGCAAAAAGTTTTATTATTGATTAATGAATTTGTTAAAAATTGTGCTCCATTGGTCATTTTTGTTTTTCTACCAACCTTTACTTTTGTGACAGTGATATAGTGTGACGTGTTTACTGGGCTAGTGTAGTTCATTCCTTATTTAACCATTTCAGATCAGGAGGACTTGGTTCCCGAGCCCATTCCGCAGGAAGACGGTGAGTAGATGCCTAAATATTTTATAGTTTTCCTTATAGTATTTTATTTATAGTATTTCCTTTAGTTAATTTATTCTTTCATATTGTTAGTACGTTTTGGTTATTGTGTAAGGGATATTAATTAGAACTTTTTATTTCGCTTCCACACTTGAAATTTATATATACATTTCCTTTTTAATTTTCGGGGTCGTTACAGTTGATATTAGAGCCGCGTTCCTTGGACTCGTCCCTTACACAATAATACGTAGAGAAATACCAAACCAATGAATCATTACTCAACCATTCCTTATGAAATGCAGGTGCAGAGAGATTAGGAGAGAAAGACCCCTATTAAACCGAGCAGCCCGTGATGGTTCGCTTCAGGAAGATGTGGATAGAATATTTGAGATGCTGGAAAGACTCATTGCTACCCAGCAAGGTCGAGAGGAGATAAGGGAGCTACCTGACCCTCCTCCACTACCACAGGTTGAGTCACCGTTGCAGCGAGAGGATCCCGAGCCACCCCAGTACGAGCATGCTCCTCCACAGTATCACTTGGCACCACTACCGCAGTATAACCCGATGCCTCAGCCACAGTACTGCTCGGCACCACCACAGTATAATCCAGTGCCCCCGCCATATCAGCAAGTACCACCACAAGGCCCCCCAGTCTATCCTCAGCCTGGCCTAGCTCTTCCGCATGACCCAGCTCCTTCCTTTATTGACCCGGGTTACGTAGAGAGGTACAGGAGACTGAACCCTTTCACTTTTGTAAGGGAATCCTCTTTTGAAGATGCCCAGTACTGGTTGGCGGAGACAGAGAAGGCTTTCAAAACCTTAGGAGTGGTTCTTGAGCAGAGGATCACCCTTGCTTCTTACATGCTGGTGGGAGAAGCAGATCGTTGGTGAGAACTCAAGCAGACCACCCTGCCTACTCTAGTCACTTGGGAGCAATTCTTAGTAGCCTTTCATACGAAGTACCTCCCCGAGCACATCCGACATCTAAAGGAGATGGAGTTTGTCCAGTTGGTCCAGGGAAACATGACAGTGTCGAAATATGCTCGTAAGTTCCTAGAGCTGGGCCGATACTCTTCTGAGACGTTGATGGATGAGGGCAGGAAGGCTAGGAGATTCTAGTGGGGCCTCCACCCAAAGATCAAGCAACACTTATTTGTACTGGAGCTTGAGACATACTCAGCTGTTCTAGCAAAGGCACAGATTGTGGAGATGAACCTTCACACCCTTCCTCAGTCAGTAGGGAATCACAGACCCTCAGCTCCACCCCGTAGACCATCACCTACTGCGCCTGTCCAACAGAATAAGAGGCCCAGACCGGTGATCCAGGCTCTCCCTCAGGCTCCAGGGGCAGCACGTGGTAAGATCTGTCAACACTGCGGCAGGGATCATGTGGACCGACCATGCTACCGCCTCAACAACACCTGTCGCATATGTGGTAGTGTCCAACACTATGCGAGAGAGTGCTCGAGGAACCAGAATCAAGGAAGACCTCCTATTCAGGGTAGGGTTTACAACCTAACACAGCAGGATACCGATGCCGACCTGGACGTGGTACAAGGTATGTACACTATCTGTAACCATATTGCTCATATTTTATTTGACACTGGTGCATTGCATTCATTTGTTTCACATGTTTTTGCATCCAAATTTAATGTATTACCTGATAAACTTGATTCAATATTATTTGTGTCTACTGCTGGGGGTAAAACACTATTGAGAGAAGTTGTCTACAGGGCTTATGCCGTGGAGATAACAAATAGGAAACTGAGTGTAGACCTAATAGGGTTAGACACGGGGGATTTTGATGTAATTTTAGGGATGGATTGGCTAGCGGCGTATCACGGCACCATAGATTGCTTTAGCAAGAAGGTTGTATTTAATCCTCCTAACGAGGAGCCATTTATAAATTAATAAAATTATTTAATACTTCTTCCTTGATGGAAAATTTTCTTAATTGTCAAGTACCTTAACCTTACTATTTTCTCTAACTAGGTAAGCCCAAGAAAGAGAATTGTATTCAAGAGATTCCGGTAGTCCGAGACTTTTCAGATGTATTTTCGGACGAACTACCCTGACTACCAGTGGACAGAGAAGTCGAGTTCACTATAGACCTACAACCAGGCACCCAGCCCATTTCGATTGCTCCTTACCGCATGAGCCGCGTTGAGATGGAAGAGCTAAGAAAACAGATCACTAAATTACAAGACAACGGTTTTATTAGACACAGTGTGTCCCCTTGGGGTGGCGGAGTCACTTTTGCTAGGAAGGGAGATGGAACGTTGAGACTGTGTATTGATTACAGAGGATTGAACAAGGTCACAATCAAGAACAAATATCCCTTTTTCAGAATTGATGACCTATTCGATCAGCTGCAGGGTGCGCAGGTCTTCACCAAAATAGACCTGCGATGAGGATACCATCAGGTGAAAATAAGAACAG